ACTGTTAAAGGGATAGTTCACCCAAAAATTTAAATTGTCATCATTTATTCAAGTTTTTCCAAATTCAATCCTTGATTCAAATTTCTCATAAGCTTAATTGATTTGGTCTAAAGAGAGGAGAATTAATGACTATTTTTGTTTGAAGACTACATATAAAATAGCTACCAAAATAAATGTTAGTAACTGCAGTTTGACTAAAAGTAATGACTAAAAGTAATGACTAATAGTTGACAAAAATGCAATGACTTTTCGTAAACTAAAACGAGACTAAAACTATGAAAGACACAACTGACTAAAATGTGACTAAGACTATTAAGCATTTTCGTCTCAAGATAAAGAAAAAGACTAAATCAAAAATGCCTGTCAAAATGAATACTGGTTGGAGCAGCGTCACATTTAAACTCTGCAGGGTTGAGTTTGAAACCAGAGTAACTCAGGACTGAGTTTGTTTACCAGAGTAAACATTTACCACAGGACATTAAGTCGGCTTACACTGCTTGAGACCCAAGCCTGGCCTTTCTCTTGATTTCTGAAGAATCTATAATAATTCAAACTGTCAGCAAGGTTTAGCTGAGAAATATCAGAAGAACTAGATTTGTCTGGAAATTGTCTGAAAAGGCACAACAGGAAAAGAGAAGAAATTAGTCATTTCCATGTTAGAGGAGTGTTGAGCTGAAGTTCATGGAACGTTGAACCAGCTAAACCGGCTAAAATCCCGCTCAGCCATGATCATTTTCCATAGAGACCAGCTGTTGGCCGACATGGACTGAATTAGCATTGGCTTATTGCTATGTTCAAATAGCTTGGCTTTATTTATTAACACAGGGTCGTTTAGACTATACCATGGGTGTTGGTCAAGTTCAAACCAGCTAGGCAAAATGCCTTATGAAATGAATATTTTTACAAAACGGAAAAAGACTTGTCTGTTTATGCAAGGTAATTCTGTCTGCCACTTGAAATCTCTCCGGGAACTTCAAGGGGGCACGGCTCTGTTTGGGAAAGTTATCCTGTGTTACCATGGAAAATGAAACTGTGATTTGACCTTTGAAATAGCAAAGAAGAATTGTGCCCATTCTCAACTTCATTAAGAACTATTGATTGCCAAGTAGCGTAATGCTAACGTTTTCCTGCAGGTACAGAGCCATATTTGCAGCACTGTGACATGACAAAGCTGGAACGCTTCCCCTATAATGAATGAAACTGTTTTTACTGTAGGATAGCCAGTATATGAAGATCTGGCTATATGCTAATTCTGTGTTTAAAAAACCTTTCTGGCAGTCTCTGCCTATAAATTTGGAAATCTTAATTACAACATGATGTGTAGTAAAGTGATTTTGCATGGAATAAATTCGATGCGTTGACCAATTTAGCCTTTTTTTTTTCATTTCTCAACCATAACAGGAAGATTTTAGCATTAGTGCAACAAAATGAAGAGCAACTGACATGCATTAGTCGTTTGTTTTATACTTTATCTGTATTTTATTCTTCTCAGCCACTGACAATGATGGGCAGATTTGTTGCACAAGTCTTAAACCAGCTAAATGAGCATTTTTTAAATCAGCTTGTCCCTGATCTTCATCAACAGAACACCAAATGTGTACAAACTAAATGGTACCATCAACATTCACAATTGCATGTTCAATAACAATTTGCTTCATCCATTAATTCTATAGTTAACAACTCGGAAAGCGAGAGCATAAAAATGTTTCTCACTGCTAATTGTGACTTTATGGTGTTGTTTAGATGCTTTCACTAAATACAATCATTCCATCATGACTAGAACACAGCAAGAGACCAAAGAAACTGTTTATGAAAACACTCAACTAATCAAATAATTTCTCCTTCAGTCCAAATAGAAAGCAAAAAAACTGGAATTACAACTACACTCTGGCATTTTTAATGTCTCTGTCCTTACAATGTTTTTCACATGATTCCCAGAATTCCAAATGAGTTTCAGAACAATCACAATATGTGCTCTTTCACAATTGTTTTGCATGTGGATGAATAGTGGATCTCCTTTTTAATACTTTAGCAGTTTGAACAGTGACACAAAGTTTTACTGCCTTCATCAAATTATGTTTCTAAATGTCCTTTAAATTATATATTACGTCACATCATATAACCAAAGCTCTAAATGGTTTCAGTTTTCCAATTCACTGTTAGCTTAGCAAACCACCAACTAGTTAGCCTGCTAACCTGTCATACTACACAGAGTTTAGCAAAAGGATAAAAAGAAAAGTCATAAAGTAACCAGTTATTTCATCATAATTTACAAACAGCTGCTCCTTGAGGTCTAAGGATAGAATTTGTGAAGAATTATGTTAGAATTTGTGAGATTATATGATGTGTTAATAAATAAATAAGTATAGCAGTACATTGTTGAATTAAAAGAATATATTCAGTTATTATTTTTGTTTATTATTATCATTATTATAATAATATTTATCATTATAAATTATAATGATCAGTGACGGAACATTGATTTGAGCTACAAAACAGCTATTTTTCCCCCATGTGGTAATGGTCAAGTGAATCTTGCATAATTATCGTTATATGTTTCTTTTATGTATTCCTGATGTCCTGTGCTATTTTGCTAATACTGCATTGCTAAAATGTTGTAGTATACAAGTGACTTCTGGACAAGTAAATAATCAGTTTTACTTCTCTGCAAGACACATACCTGGAAAAGCTTAACGTTGAGCCCTGCATTTTGGCTTTTATATCTGGCCTCCAGATATTTAGGTCATTTAAACTTGCTTGTAAACACACTAAAAACAAGGAGGGGTGCAATTCCTTAGCCATGTGTTTTTGTGTAACCTGATTTTCTGGCACAGACTGAAAACATTACTTGGGTCCTTTGACAAGTCAGTGGAAGAAAAAAAACTTTGGAGAGCATGTGGTCATGTGGAGAGCATGCAAAGTTAAAAAAACTTTTTAACTTTGGAGAGCATGTGGTCTGACATGCCAGCATGAGTGGGCTCATATGAGGTTGTTTATATCTCTCTCTCTCTCTCTCTCTTTCTCTCTCTCTCTCTCTCTCTCTGCAGATTATCCATGAACCTCCACCACCAATAGTGGAAGATAGTTCGGTAAGAACTTTTTTTTTTTTTTTTAAATGATCTGTACATTGTCTAATTAAGTAGTATTGCACTTGCATTTGTGTTGTCATACTGTGATCTGGCCATAGGCACAATACATTTCAGACAAAAACTGGCCAGTGTGTTCATTTGTTTCATACTCACCAACAAAAATATTGTCAAAAGAAGCTGAAGCATCAAGCTTTGCTTGTCACGAAGCAGCACACAGACTGAAAGCTGGTCTGGAACAGCATATCAGTGGAGTGGAGCGCAAGAGATTTCCCATTTCCGTTCGAAGCTTTCCATAATCACTCCGCTGCTCACATATTCTGGTCTGAAAAGCAATGAGCACGGACAAGCGGAGTGATGAAAGCTGTGAAATCCTAGTGCTGTTATACTACACTTTATCGTGGCTTTCTGGAAAACTGGAGTCTGATTGGTCAATTGCAGAATTGCATACATCTTGTAGATGGCTAGAAGATCAGAAGTTCCCAGTTAAAGCAAGAAAATGATAATTCCGCACACAAGAGCCCAGTAAAATGCTGCGTTCATGCCATGTCGTGATTACTAGACAACAATTCTACTTGGAGCTGTTTACATCCTCCGACTCAGAATGATCCATTTCTATGACAACACTAATAATGGCAAAATAAATCTGTGTAATATGAGTAATCAATAGATTTAAAAAAAAAAGCAAGTTAAAAGTAACAGTCATTATGCAAATGTCTCATTAATGAACATTTCAAGTTTACTTGGCTTATTAAGCTGGACTTCAGGCAGTAGTTTCAACTCTGTGCTAGCCACATTAAACTGTATTGAATGTGTTGTAATATTTTTATTATTGTAAGATTAATTTTACATGTTACTGTTGGAGCCGCTTGCAGTTTGAGTGTTTCCGCAGGACGCAGTGGTCAGGCAGTAGAAGTTTACAAGATTAGTCACAAGTTCTGCAAGGACATGAAAGCTTTTTATTAGCCGAAATCTCAAAATTACGGTAATTCTGACATGGTGTGAATGCATCCAGAGACACAAAGAGACAGATAAGAGAGAACTTAATGGAAGACAAGTAACTTGGATTGCAGATGACTAATAATACATAAATTATTACTGAGAAAATGTGCCAGTGTTCGTCTGGTTTCTATAGGAAGTTTCCTACATTACAATGGTCTGTTTTCATTGGCGAAAGATTTAAGGTAATCTGTAAGTAAGATAATAAATATCCTGGTAAGCAGCCGTGTAATATGCGGGATAATGTATAGTCAGCTGGTCATTATCGCTTAAATAAACCCAGACATGACTGTGACGTTATGCAGAGGGGTTTTGTATCACCCTAAAGGGGTTTATTTTGTGATAATAACCGTATGACTGCACAGTATATCTGAAAACGTGTTGGTATTTTACGATGGAAACTACAAGAGTTCACCAGCTTACCCTGCAGCATTTATGGTGATTTTCTTCTTTAACTCTTGTTTATCTTGGATTAGACTTAATCCTTGTTTATTGAAACCATCCCTGAGATCTAATTGTCCAAACATGAAAAAAAAAAAAAAGTTTATTAAGATTTGGATGTTATTTTGTAATGATGTTATTCTGATTTGAAACTCTTTCTGAAGGTCAGAATGTTTCAACTATTTAACAGGAACTTTGGGAGAGTCTTTGGATTCCATAAAACTCTCCAGATCTTTGTAGGCTGTTGTTTAACCACTCTGGCTCTGCTGCGCTAAAATGAATTAGTTCAGTCTGGCCTTATTAAAGACCTGTAATATGATAGCATATTTTTATAAATCTTTCATCAGTGATGTCACTTTTGTAAGTCGATAGGAATGTCATACGTGGAATGGCTGTGGGTTGGGGAAATTTCCCTAAAGGTTTCTTTAAGTTACGCTAAAGTTTCAGGATATAAAATATGTGATGGGGAATCAAGTGGGTGGTCAAATTGAAATATGAAGCATGGGGATGGCTGTTAAAACTTTTTGATTAAGTATGGACGCATTGATAAAAAGATGTCTGTTTAAATCTCGAGGACTGATTGTTAAACGGTTAAATTTCCTCAGAGCTGGAAAAATAAAGTCACAACTTGAGTGAGCCAATTTGGACTTATTTTATTGGATCAGGAAGAGCTATAGGGAGGGCGTAAGCATGGCTCGTGTCTTTCTGAGAAGCAATAAATGAAAAAGTCATGTTTTAAAGGAGTGAGTCACACCTCATTTAGGAAAATACTCCACCATTTGAATAAGACGCCAAAAATATGTTCTTGGAACAAACAAAAAATCTTTACAATAAGTGTTATTGTTTCATTCAAGAAAATGTGTATATCAGTTCTCAACATAGAGACAGATTTTACATTGGACATTTGGCAAGTCAACATAGTGCAAAATCCGTAACCTCTGCTTAATATGGTCTGGGCCGCATTTTGTTTTGGCTTCACACTTAAAAATAAAGGCTCCATAAGGGGTTTTCACAGCATAGACGAACCATATTCGGTTCCCCAAAGAACCTTTCAGTGATCAGCTCTTAAAAGAACCTTTTTTTTTCTTATTGTGAAGAACATTTGAAAAATCTAAGAACCTTTCTCCACTATAAAGAACCTTTTGTGGAATGGATGTTAGGTTCTTCACGGAACCATCGATGCCAATAAAGAAAAATCTTTACAATAAGTGTTATTGTTTCATTCAAGAAAATGTGTATATCAGTTCTCAACATAGAGACAGATTTTACATTGGACATTTGGCAAGTCAACATAGTGCAAAATCCATAACCTCTGCTTAATATGGTCTGGGCCGCATTTTGTTTTAGCTTCACACTTAAAAATAAAGGCTCCATAAGGGGTTTTCACAGCATAGACAAACCATATTCGGTTCCCCAAAGAACCTTTCAGTGATCAGTTCTTAAAAGAACCTTTTTTTTTCTTATTGTGAAGAACATTTGAAAAATCTAAGAACCTTTCTCCACTATAAAGAACCTTTTGTGGAATGGATCTTAGGTTCTTCATGGAACCATCGATGCCAATAAAGAAACGTTATTTTTCAGAATGTTGTGTAGTTTTGTGGTCCAACAGTTAAGAACCATTGGGCTCTATTTCAGTCACAATTTCATTGTCTCTTTGTTTGCTCTATAAGGATGATGAAGAGGATGGAACTCCGAAGAAGAAGTGGCCCACAGTCGACGCGTCCTACTATGGAGGAAGAGGAGTTGGCGGCATTAAAAGAATGGAGGTAAACAACAGTTGTATCACTCGCTGGAGGGCACCAGCCACTAAATTAGCACACGCTCAGTCTCTTAACAGATGTTTTTCATCCAGAGGAAGAGGGCTGTATCTCTGGAGGAACACGGGGTTAACTGTCTTTCTTAAGGGTGATGGATTCTGTAAGTAAATCTCCAGTTGACAGTTTGCCCCTACTTGGAATGAAACCACTGTTGTTTACATTGCATGCCAAGAGACTTCAGCACGTCATAATTGAAGTCAGCGATGAAAATGCCACAACTGTGAAGAAAAACAGGAAACACAGAAGGGAAAGTAAAATGTTTGTCAAATGCATTGATTCGCAAAAGTATGCTTGAAATAAACAATCTGCTATGCAAACACAAGGCCTCATAAAAAAAAATGCCATGACAAAAACAAGGAAAGAAATGGTTTAAGCCAGCATAAGGTGGTCTGTTGGTCTTAGAAGGTCTAGGGTTTAAAATGGTTTTGGACACTGGAGCTCGCTGACCAGCTAAAGCGCCTGAAGACCAGCTTGACTAGGCTGGGAGACAACCTTTAGCAAACAACCTTTGGCGTGTTTCATCAAACGGCTGCCAGTAAAGTACCAGAGTTTAGAATCACAGCAAGACAGTGATTACAATAGAGGAAAACAAGTGTGCGTGCATTATACAGCTCATCTGCTGTTTGGAATCCTTCCTTCTGTCAAACATTCTGCCTCAATTACCAGCAGTGCAGAGTTTGCAATTTGATTGTCACAGAAAATACCTGTGCATAAATATCTCTGTTTGAGAAAACATGAAACACATATTTTTTTGCCATTATTCACAGTTTTTATACTACTGAGTACACCTTGAAAATCTTTTGAGTTTGTTTTTCCATTTGTACCTGGAAAGGATTCTGAAATGCTGATAACAGAAAGGTTATGATGTAAAAATGAAGAAATATTTTGGAGTAAAATTAATGTGCACTCTTTTATACAGAAGGTCAAATGCTCTTGCCTCCATTGAAGCTCTTTGGATCATTGTCAAGTCATGCTGGATAACATGATCATCGCCATCTCCTTCATTTCAGGTTCGCTGGGGTGAGAGAGGTTCGACCGAGGAGGGTGCTAAACTGGAAAAGGCGAAGAACGCGAGGGTAAAGATGCCTGAGCAAGAGTTTGAAGCTCCTCCTGCTCGCATCCTAAATAATGGCATGCGGAAACCTCCAGGTCCTCGTAAATGGTACTCGCCCATTAAGGTGAGAAGAACAATAGTGTACTCTCAGGGTACACATGCTAACTAAAACTCAAAAGAGTAACACTTTAGTTTAGGGACCAGTTCTCACTTTTAACTAGTTGCTTATTAGCATGCATATTACTAGCATATTGGCTGTTTATTAGTACTTATAAAGCAGATATTAATGCCTTATTCTGCATGACCACATTTTAGAGCCCGTAATTTTACCACATACCTAAACTTAACAACTACCTTAATATCTATTAATAGGCAGCAAATTAAGAGTTTATTGAGGCAAAGTTGTAGCTAATAGTTAGTGAGAACTGGTCCCCAAACTAAAAAAAAACACAAAGTATTTTGTGTCCAGTATCTTGTTGAGAAATGGCAAATGCTGCTGAAATTTGGATAGCTGATAGGAAAAATGTATGAGAAGTTGACTTATTGTGTGGTGTGACGTGCTAAGCTACTAAAGAAAACTACTCAAAATTATAGAACTATTTTATAATTATTATGCATGATGCTTTTTATAAGATCATATTAATTGGAATATTCGTACCTTTTAAAAACATTTGTCACACTGCAAAATGAATTAGTGAAGGTGAATGGTGATAAAAACCATTCAAGAAATACCAAAAAACCAAACCAAAAAAACTTTCAAGAAATTGCGGACATTTTTTTCTAAACATTCACATGAATTTTAACCTTAAATGCAGTTGTTGATAAAAAGTCAGTAGTCATGTTGTCTATATGTGAAGGAGCTTTGCTATGATTGGCTGCTCTTTGTAGCTCCTGTAGCTCACACTGTTGTTAATTAGGAAGGGCCAAGTTTCTGAGCACAAAATAAGACTATGTAATATGTACTGCAGATACATTTGGCTATGCATGTTTGAATTTTGCATGCATTCTGTGTTAAAATGCAATTCATATTAACTAAGTGTGCAAGTCTTAACTTTGCCACAAGGGGCGCTATATTCTTTCAACAGTATTTTATGGGTTTTCTACAGTTTTCTATGTTAAGGGTAACCGTTTGTAAAACAACAAATAAGATATTTTGACATTGGACAGACAAACAATACATAATAAATAACATAATAAATAGCACATAATAAATACATGAATATATAAGTTCAAATATTTAAAATTTAAAATATTTAATTTGTGTTCCATTGAGTAGAACACTAAATCTGAGTTCCAATTCAGGGGCTGCTTCCTTAGAAGGGCACAGACTTTGAAGGCCAGACGTTGCCGCCTAGCAACTGTGACAACTGCCGTTGACAAGTGGCAGTAATGTTTGTACTGGATTTTTTTTTTTGAAAATTATATTTGATATTTTCGAAATTAGATATTCAAATAAGCTGAAACCCAATACTTAGAGTTAAAAGTGTAATCAGCATGCCCTCTCAAAAATAAAACAGAATAAAAATGAAGGAGCCTTCACACTGGGACAGCCTTATGCCCGGTTCAGACTACACGATTTTAGCCCGATTTTGCCACGATTTGCTTGATGTAGGGTGTCGAAATGTTTACACTCTTGTTTTCGGAAGTCATTCGCTAGTTCCGCCTTCTCGATGACATCACACGCGTCGTTAAAGACAGCACGCGATGAATGGTCGGGAAGCAACGTGTAGTCTGACATGTTTCTTGTCCACGACACAACAAGATTTTTCTGACATGTTTCTTGTCCACGACACAACAAGATTTTAGGAGTCAAAATCATGTAATCTGACACAGTGACTATCGTGACCGACAAAAATATCGTTGTAGTCTGAACCCGGCATTAGTCGTGCTGCTGTGAGGCATTCAGTCTTGGAATTTCACCTTTGAAGGATGCAGCCTCTGAATTGTGATGCAGCTAAGACTAAAGATGACACTAATTCTGTTGACAGTTAAACATGAGCAGCCCCCCACCATGCAGTTCTCCTGCTGAATTAATGCGTAAAAACATGGCTTAAGATGTTAGTGCTTATAATCAATCAGCTTGGGGATTCGTAATATAGACCAGAAACTGTGGTGACCTCCGAGAAACTGTGCCTGTGGAGTCAGCACTTTGCTACACTCAAAACCAGGTTTCCCTCATTTCACCTCTCTCCACTCGCTCACTTTAATAGATCTCACTGTCCAAGAGCTCAGAGCATTGCCAAAAAATTTTTCCCCCGTAGTTCGTTCTTTTAGTCTGTGTATCTTTACTTTGAATATTTATTTATTTCCTTTATTTGTTCATCTCTGTATCTAATGTGTCTCCCTGTTTTTTTTTTTTTTTTGGGGGGGGGTAATTTGAAAATATTACAAAAAGAAAGAAACGATTAATTAATGAATAATAATAATTAAAAATGGAGAATAAGTAAGAATGAATGAATAAATAAATAAATAAATATTTTGTTATGTGCAATGAAAATTTGTTCTGTGGTGCTGGGATTCTGTGTAGGCATTACCAAAATTGTATTAAAAACACTGAGGAGAAAAAAAGAATTGCACGTAGCCTATTTAAGTAATAGGAGTGTGTGGGAAACCTGTTGGAAACAATCATTATTTCTTGCAATTCTTTTTGACAGCAAGTGTGCAAATCCTGGTTTACCTCTAGCTGTGTCTGCATATCCGCAGATCTGATCAGAAACAGCCGTCAGCGCTGATGGATGTAAAAATAAACGGCGTCTCGCTGCACGCTGGCCGCTCTTGACCAGACTCACCATGATGACATGCCCTATAAAGAGGTATGTGCCACTTTTTGTAATCCAACTTTACATTTAAATCTTCCAAAATCCCCTTCTGTTCTTTCTTTCACCCGTTCATGTTCTCTATTCCACCTCTTCTTGACAGCAGACAGCAGCAGCTCTTGTGCAATGAGGGTCGGCTGTCTTTATTAGGAAGTTGGATCGAGGCTGAGGGACATCAGAATTCTGTTGTATATTCATAACCATGGAGCAGATAGCAAAGCATTGATTCATTCTAAACTGTGGCTTTGAGATTTATCCGTCTCATATAGTGAGCCAGAGAGGCCACATGTGGGGTGTTGAGTTCAGGAAATCTCTTTGTTAATATAATCTATTTCTCAGAGTTTAGTGACTGAACAATGTGAGGAACAAGTTCAGTCACAAACCCTGAAGGTCAGTGAAGACCCATGAAGACTTGAATCATACAGAAAACAGACAGTTTATACCAGAGTTTTCCAATCCCACTACTGGAGGGCCAATGTCCTGGAGATTTTAGCTCCGACACACTTGTTTGGAAGTTTCTTGTGAGTCTGAAGAGCTTGATTAGCTGATTCAGGTGTGTTTAATTAGGGTTGGAGCTAAACTCTGCAGGACAGTAGCCCTCCAGGAACAGATTTTATTAATAGACAAACACATATGCTTGCTTTTTTTCATCTTAATTTTTGTGTTTTTGGTGTTTGTTTGTGCTGATGCGCAGGGAAAACTGGATGCATTGTGGGTACTTCTGAAGAAAGGGTATGACAGAGTGTCCATCATGCGACCACAACCTGGAGACAAGGTAAGACTCTTTAGTCTTGATGTATAAAAAATGCATTATTTATATGTATAACTAAATTATAAAAAAAATAATAATAATAATAACATGCATATACAGTAGTGCATTCAAGATAACATGTAAGACTTGAATGCACTGTATGCAACTTTTAACAAACAAACAAACAATAAATAATAAAAATAAATAAATAAATAAAAATGTAAATATATATATATATATATATTTGCCAAATGCACTATTGGTTTGTTTTCTACAGAAAGGATGACTTCTGTTGAGTTTTGTGGATTTTTTGTCAAGATAAAAGTAAAAAAAAAAATGCATAGCAACTTAGCAATAATTATTGCATAGCATGTTATTCCATTTTTTTTTTCTTTTGAAGCTTATTTTTATTTATTTAATAAAAAAAGTAAATTTGCGACTTTTCAGACAATTCATAAATTGTGAAAAGTTAAAAAAGACAATTCTGAATTGTGAAAGATAAATTGCAAGAAAAAAAAGTCTTTGTTTCTGCTACAGAAATAAAAAATTAAAATAGCAATTGTGAAAATAAGCTTCGATAAGATTCCTCACAGACCCTGTTTGATACTGAAAATCAGTGGACTTGCAGATGAAATTCGTTCTATTCATTGACAGTATAGTAATTTTCGTTTGCACCACTTTGTTTTTGAGTGTGGAAACATATGAACAGATATGCGTAGAATGATGTGAGGTTTAATCACTATGAAGGAAAAACAGTTGGGATATGAGGATTTGGATATACGGACATACAGTACTCTATACACTATATGAGTAGCTTATAGCTTGCAGTGGTATTCATTTCCACTTTTAAAGATGGCCATGTCTTTGATATGTTCACCAGCACAAGGACTCTAAAGCTTATAAAAGATCTTAACTTACTCTTCTTGATCCATTTTCACAGCACAACAGAGCAATCTGCTAAATCACTATTATAACTGTCAGTTAATTCAATATGACTTGGCTTTACTGAAGTGATGAAAAGCAGAAATGAAAAGACGAATACAGCACTATTCCACAGCTTGCTAGGAAATGAAAACCAGCCTCACACTGATGGAGCTTTACACAGAATAGATAACCAAGACCTTTGTTCAGTTCAGTTTTAAAGAGGTTTTTTTTTTTTCATTTCTGGAGCTATATGTATGAGGAAAAAATATTTTGTGTTCCACATAGAAATAATATCATACGGTCTGTAACAGCATTAGGGTTCAATAAATGATGATAATATTTGAATTAACTATATTTGTGCATATTTAGTAATGTTTACTCAAACAAAATCAACATTGCCAAAAAACTATCATGAACATTAATGACAAATGTTGCAGTTAGACTTGGCCTCCTCTCTATAGCATGTATTTGCTTTCACTCGCTGCTTCTTTTTTAACACTCTTTTATCCTTGCCTGAATGGAGAACAACAACAGACCAAGTGTAAGAGCCCACCTGTTGCATGCTGGGTCTCCTGGACTAAGCAAATAAACTGAGGAAATGCATATCAAATATCCCAAATGGCAATGAGATTTGCATGAAATGAAATACAAAGTTTTTTAGGGTGAACTCGCATGTTATTTCTTACTTATGCAAAGGATGATTTGACTACAAAGTTGATGGCAGGTCACATCACCGAGAGAAAGGGCTCATTTAAGGACAGGACGCAGTACTGAATGCTTTTCATGGTCTATTTGTCAGGGTTGTTTGCAGGATCAGCAAGGAAGAGTTGAGGCGAGGATCTTTTAGAAGCAAATATGATTTATTTACAAGACCAAATAATATACAAGAGAACAAGAAAACTAGAAATACGCAAACCAACATAATACTTGCCAAGAACAGACAATGAATTAAGCCAAACAGGGGGTATAAATACACGAAAACGAGAAACCAAACAAGACACAGGTGAGCATAATCCGTACCTATGGAAACCAAATGAGGACATACAGAGGGTAAATTTACACAACAACATTATTCTAAAAAGGGGAAAGTTTTTTTCTTTGCTTTTTTGAAAAGTTTGACGTACAGACGACAATTGAACAACTCAAAGCGATCCCTGTTTATACGGATACGCAAAAACAACTAAAAACGCTGCATTATGTATGCCAGGCCAGTAGTTGGCGTTGTCACTTTGTAAAGAAATGCGCCTGCACACATTCCTATAGACTGAATACATAGTATGCATACGCATTCTTTTTCTTTGCTTTTTTGAAAAGTTTGACGTACAGACGACAATTGAACAACTCAAAGCGATCCCCGTTTATACGGATACGCAAAAACAACTAAAAACGCTGCATTATGTATGCCAGGCCAGTAGTTGGCGTTGTCACTTTGTAAAGAAATGCGCCTGCACACATTCCTATAGACTGAATACATAGTATGCATACGCATGACATCACCATTTTCACAAATTTACGTTTTTGTAGTTTACACAGAGATAATAACGGTATCGTTTTCAAAAGTTTGGGTTTTCAGGCCCCCAAAATGCTGTTGTTGTGTAAACAAACAGCCAAAAGACATAAAAAGATTTTTAGTTGAAAACTGTGTCATGAAAACTGTGTCAAACACCCCCTGAGAAACCATGGAATCTAATGACATGAGGGCAAAACACAGGAATAGAACTAAAACACACACAGACTAGACGTGATACAATTAAATTTAGTTTGAACTGTTGGAGATCTACTGAAAAGTCAGGGCATAGTCAGGCCTAATTTAGAAAATAGTACACTGGTAACTGATACCAAAAACGCCTTGTAACCACCTACCTTTAAAAAAAAAAATTTTAATTAATTATATTATTCAGCAGGGGCATATTAAATTGATCAAATATGACTAAAGACACAAAAAAAGTCACAACAATTCAAAATATATTTATCCTGGTTTATCATAATAATAATGATAATAATAATAAGCACAGCACTGATAATAACAAATATTTTTTAGCATCAAATCAGCATATTAGAATGATTTCTGAAGGATCATGTGACACTGAAGACTGGAGTAATGATGCTGAAAATTCAGCTGTACATTCAAATATATTCAAATAGAAAAGAGTTATTTGAAATTGTAAAAATATTTGTAAAATACTATTGTGTTTGCTGTATTTTTGATTAAAGAGCAGGCCATATGGGTTTTCGAAAAATATCTTTTTTGCAGTTACGTGCAGTAACGTAGCTATCCTTCAATGTAAACAGTCTGCAAAGTTGTTAATCAAAAAAGTGCATGATAAAGATATTGTCTCTCAAAAGAAAGAGTCGACTCTGAACCGTCTTAACGAGTCGTCATATTTTCGAATCTTCTGCCTGTTACCTATATGCGTCACAAGGTAACACATTTACATAATCCCCGATCTGCCCGTGAAATACGAACACTCTGACCTGCCCAAAAACACTTTCGCAAGTTAGTGTATTTACATCATGTCGAGAAGACGCTGTGTTTTCAGCCTCACTGGGCATTCTAACACAGTTCCCACACGTGCACCTCAAATAAGTAAATAATAATAATGACTGCAATAAAACTGCTGTGACATCACGTAAAGTACCACATACAAAGTTTCAACTTACCACTGAGAAACGTCCTGATCAAGTCGTGCTTGCGATGGAGTTTCCAGTTGAGCGACTGCATTGGTATCATCCTCGGTCTCGGGCTCGTATTGATAAGGTAATATCGATGCCATTTTTGTAACCTTATAGCATCTTTGTTTACAAGTAATGCTCCGGAGCAAAAAAAATTTATGGTAATGGGCGTTTCGTTTCCAACACGCATTGTATATGGAAAGACCAATCACAATAGACGCGGCCATCTGACCAATCAGAGCAGATTAGGCTTATGGAAGGGAGGGGTTTACAGACCTTAAGCTCAGAACTGCTTCGAACAAATCGTTTCGAAATCATTGAAAAATTATTCTAATATTAAATGTATATTCTGAAAAAATTACAATGTTTTCTGACCTTAGATGCATTTAAACCTGTTGTAGGGGACTCCAACACAATATTAGGACACTTTAAAATATATGACCTGCTCTTTAAATAAATGCAGCATTGGCGGACAAACTTTTTTTAATAAACATAAAAAAAAAATCTTAGTAGCCTTAGTGCTTAAAAACACTCAGAACACCAGAATACCACATAGCAACAGTCTAGCATCAACTTTTGCAAATGCATGCATCACTTACATTTTCTTCAGAAAGTTAGAAACTCTAGTTGCATCAAATCTAGATTGTACAATGTGATGCATCTTGTTCTTACAGTGCACTGCCAATAAGTTGATTTCTCCTGCTTGTACTAAGAGCAGCTAAGATAGGTGGTCATTTTCTCCACTTCAAAACGTGCAGCTTTTTTTTAACCAAAATAAATAGATATGGTTCAATGTCAACAGATCCGTTTGGATGTAACACCATGTGAAGTGGGTGGTGTCATTCAGAACTGAAGCACACTGCAAAACTCAACACCCACACCCTCATTTTCTCTAAGGAGCTCGCTTAGTAGCGCTAAACATCAAATCCCACTGTACGTTTGGAGGGTCAAACTGTGAGTCACATTTGGCTTCAACTTTGGACCTACTCCTCTTAAAGAGAAGCTTCACAGATTGCACAACATCACAACCAATCCTGCAGCCCCATGTATCTGCAGGTAAGATGGACTTGAATCAGATATTTGCTGAGTGATGTCAAAAAAATAGCACTTGCATCATAGAATGACATGCACATTGATACTTAACACAACTGACAAGCAAACAGACTCAGGAAAGAAGCTTAAAGGAAACCTGGGCCTAAAAGGTTTAACAAAGAAAGCAGACCAATGGGCAGAAACAATATATTCTAGACTTGTATATCAGGAAGATGATACAATTGCTTTACAAGAGAACAACGAAACATAGTATAGTAATTAACGGCATCGGGGAGGCGACACCCTCAGCAGTTAGAGAGTCTGATGACATCACACTATGAGGTTATTACCATTTCACCGCAACACATGAAGCCACTTGGACGCATGCCGAAACT